AATAACAAATCTTTACAGGAAGTCAGTGAGATTTAGTGAACTAAAAGCACTTTCGGTTTACATAGGAGATCTCCATGCCGAATTTATTCCTTTAAGGGCCTACACAGATCACAACTTCAGGTATACAACACTTACGTGGAAGAAATTTCATTCTTCATTACTAAACTTAATGAAAAGAATCATGTTTTTTCTAAAAACAGGAGCATTCGTAATGTTTCACTTTATGTAAATGCAGTTACATACAGTTGCACTAAGAACTCAGTGCAACTCGATGCACAATAGTATATACACAAAAAACTGAGAAATAACGTCCTCCTTACCTTCTGAACAACTTGTTCTTATTCCAGGATAATGACTTTCTTTCACGTATGAGCCTGAGTTTTGCCTATGAAATCACAATATTACATCAGTTAAATCTCCCCCGAAAATCAAGGCCACTTGAAACCAATAGCGACATAGCAACAAGCTTCATTGAGGGGATATGCAATAAAAATGCTCTAATACTTCTGATAGTATTTCTCGGTCTTCTAACGAACAGCGTACTATGGAACGATGACTGCAGTATTGGTGACTCCTGCCGAAATATGGAGTTGGTTTTGAGTAAACAATCATGAATTGATCGTTCTTCCTTCAACTATATTGCCAATGATTTTTATCTCAAGTGAACTGACGTCTTTTCCATATGAAACATAACATATACTCACACACATGGAGACAAATATGCAGGATAACAATTTCACATTAGTCATTACAAATATACGACGACTACTTACACTTTTCTACTGGTACAGATATCTATCGACAAGTAACCTTCAAATGAACTAACTTGAATCTATGTTATTTTTGATTATGTATTTTGATGAACAATAAAATCCAAATGATTCTTCTGGGGAAGCCGTGGTTTACACAGCGAAACGTTCACAAAATCTTGTTTCGCTTTTTTCTTAGACGCGCTGGTATTATTTTAAATATTTTTCTATGATTCAATCTGACATGTCGCCCAAATTATTTCTGAAAATTGGTAGCGTCTCTGGTCTAGAAAATTATAATACATTATTTGGTTTATGATGAATTTACATAGTTTCTATCTTTTCCGACTTCATTTTGTGGGCACAGGCTACTACTACTAAGTAGTCACTCAGTGTAGAACAGTGGGAGCTCAACAGATGACTTTTCGGAAACGTGACATTGCTGCATAGCACTCACCCAGATATATGCTGTTCACTGGTTGACCATAACGATCAGCAGGAAACGGAAGAAGTTTGGGTTGGCACTCAACCTTGATGGTGACATTAGTAAACGGTTTACAATTCAACATTTATGATAACCTGTTCTGATCGCTTGTACAATAATTGAACAATTCAAATTTTGAAAAAGTATTAATTTATGATACTTCACGACTGTAATTTATAACATTACTGATCGTGCCTGTAAAACTGGCATGCATTTCTTGTAAACTTACCCGTTTATACGAAATATAAATTATTATTATTACAGTTAGTATTACCCTTTTATCGACAATTAGCTTGCAGCTACATCCTGCCACAAGTTCACCTGTTACGTGAGTCATATCAGCCCTAAGAATCATTGATTTTCAGACCACTAAGGTATTCTGACATCCTTCAGGGAATACATGTAGTTAGGAAGGATATGAAAGTTGCACTTACGACTCATTTATTTTAACCATTTATTGATAAACAGCTTATCTAGTGAGTCTTTGTTGAGTTTAAGTTGAAATGCTTAAGCGTCTTCAGTTCCTGAATGCCATTATCCCTACAGGGACTGTTGATGAAAATGAACACGAAATCAAGCTTCCTACCGAATTCAGTAGCAAAGCTACAAACTGTTTATAAGAAAGTTCGTCAAAGAAGGATATACTGTGAACAGATGAAAAGGAGTTTTGCTCCAGTTCCCATAACTACTGTCTTTTAGATAAGTGGACCATCTTCCAAAATTCAGGGTGACTCCAAAATATCAATGCGTCATTTGCTTATTGTTAACTTGAAAAGGAAAACAATTCGTATTGTGGTTAAAGACACAGAAAAATGCCGTCATGACCATGGAATGAGAAAGGAGAATTAGCCTTTGTTAGCAAACGTGGGCAGATACAAAGAGCTTAACTTTTATATTACTTTTTAATAACTTCAGCGAATTCTAAAATACACTTCGTCCTCTTATTTTCGGAAGCCCGTTAAAGTCAGTCAAATCGGTCACAGCAATTCAATAATGCCGAAATAATAATGACACACACTTGTGTACAGACATTTGCTTGTTGTTATTTGGCATGAAATATGCCTCAAATGTCCCCTTGCCACGATTTTCTTACTACGCTTGAGTGAAACCAAATTTGTCATCATGAAAAATGGAGATCTGAATTATCAAGGAGATCTGCGAAAGTAATAAGTGGCATATTTCAGTACAGGAGAAATGTTACTATAATTGCCATAGATCCATCTACTCAATTATTCGTCTCATATAGACTTCATTTTGCAGTAAAATCATATGGATTGACATCACGCTATAAGTGAAATAATAGTAATGCACTACGTTTTCAATACATTTAATCTTATACGAAATCGAACTCCACCGCAGTATCTAAGTTCTATTTTTATTTTTCAAATGCGCAGGTAAGGTTATTTTGTAATTGATCCTAACAGATTTACCTATGAATCGGAGACGTACTCACATAACCATTGGCAGACGTTTAGGCTCGACTTATAAGTCACCACTTATATCGATCGACAGTGTTTGTACAGAATCACACTTACGTACATTAACGAGTTCATATCCTATGGACTACCGGTCTATGTCGTACTTCCACTGCAAGTATATCAAGTAGAACACAAGAATATTAGATAAGAAGTTTCATTCCACTGCAACGCAAACAAGTTTATTCACATGTATAGGCTGAGCACAGTCCAAGATGAAAGTCTTCGTTTGGGAAGCAGTTCACATTATTCCATGGAAACTGCCCAGTATTCAAATTGCGTCACCTTCAAAATTCCTTCCTAACTCAAGCGAACAGAACTGCATGCCCACATCCAAAATTATCCGGTATCACGAACTGGAAAACAGAATATCTTCATGGTTATAAGTGAATGAGTGAACTTCTCTTTCCTTGTTGTTGAATGTAGAATCAATTCCTACAACTGGTTATGCAAATATATCTGGTCATAAGTCGCTAAAAGTGCTCGCTAGTGTATTTTGGAGGTCCTTGTCCAAATACGACTACATCTGCTCCCACTGAATTTAACTAACTGAAAGACCTCATTACGACTCAAAATTCCTAAAAGTGATGCGGATTAAATTCACCTACATAAATTAAGCATTTACATAATAAACATGTATGACTTAAGTATTCACAAATTTCAGTACTCACAGTTTACGCTTTTTTGAAATGTGGAGCACAATAATTGTGCAGAAAATTTCATGAATATTACGCATACATAATATTATTAACTGCCATTAATTGTGCCATCGAATCATACTACAAGAATACATTCAACAATTATGTGTTAGTGGTCTGAGGGGAAAATTTTGGAGCGAAACAGACAGGCTAGATGAATGTTCCAAAAAGTTCTCACTAACATACAATGTCTCATTCGCCGAATTTTCCCATGCATGTGAACGTAGCCACACACCGGCATGTGGGAAAGGTCGTCACTGTTAGCAATTCATAAGATGCTCACTTCTTGAAAGTCTCCCAAGTCTCTCTCTGCATTCGCACCTTCTTACATTTGTGCTGATTCCGCTTGCACTGATAACCTGCTACGAACTTCTAAACAGACTTTCGTTAACGAAGCACATTATTGCCACAGCTTGTCACGATCGACTTACAAGGAACGTAGAATACTAGACTATGTGAGTGAGAAATATCGAAGTAGAAAGTATCGTACGTATAACCACAACTGGAGAAATGCATTAGGACCCACGGGGTCATGGTTATTGATAACCACCATAATGGCTCACCAGTTTCAAGAGTCTGCATATGCTCAATATATTATTAAGGGAGAGCTTTGCCTTCGAAGATTTCGTGTCTAAAAATGTATTACCAACTTATGCACTTTTCCTCATATAAAGTGTTTGCATCTGAATGTATAACCATCAACAGCCTGGCAATACTTTTCAGAGTCATTATCTCCCCACATATACATGTTTTATTCTTCCCTGTCAACACATTTTCCACAGAGAAGTCCAAACCAAATTCGGGGGACATTTTAAACGAGGATTATGACTATCAACCATTTGTAATGCCGAGCCATCTGATTGGTGAAATCAAGGGCATTTGACTACGGTGTCAACTGTTTACTATTGCCCATCATATTTAAAAGACCTGGATCATTTTCCTCTAGTTGGCAGTGGTGTTGAACCACTCTTCGCAGACTGGATATTATGTTTCCATGCAAAGACTGACACTGGAGTACCTTCTACTGCACTGAGAAATACCTGAGGATGCATACGTATCAGGTGAACTGATGTCCCCTCCCTCATCTTAGGCACACCGAATATGTTAACGAGGGAGTGAACAATCACAGAGTTTGTGAAATCTCATAGATTCGTCATTCATATATCCCATGACAGATATAAAGATTCGTAAAATTCCCGATTTATCTATCACAGCTTCTCTTCTTCAAAAAGCAAATATTACACAACTGCCTCTCTCATCCATCGGTTACAAACAACTGAGAAAGACGAAATCTTCAAACTTTATACTTGTTTATGTTGCTACGGAATATTCATTTCGCAAATGGATTCAGTGCATAGCAAATATGTGAAATCTATACATGTATTAATGCAGTGCGCTTTCATTCGACTGGTACTTACTGGTGCTTAATGTTTAACGTGGCCAGTGCATATATAAATTTGTTCCCTCAAGCTGAAAAATATAGTGTCTATCTAGTTTTACTATTATTATTATTTCAAAGCCTGCCTCTGTAATGCACAACACGCATTAGCCGCAACTTTTATCCAAAGGAAAATCTACCAATCACATTATACACAAGTGACCTTCAAGACCCCGACGTCTCCGTAGGTCGTTGGTGTCAGAGCGCCTCTCCAGGCGCTTGGGTTCTCCTTTGTGTGAGTCAGCGTCTTGTTATTTGGTTGGAAAGTGTCTGCCCATTCCTGTTTTACAGCTGTCACTTCTAACTAAGGTGCAGTCGGCCTCACACCACGACTGGTTTAGTGTACGGTGCCAAGATATTGAGTCACCCGATTGGTTGCTCAGGGTCATTTATCCGTTCACGAGGTAGTTTCAGTTTGGGCTGCTATAGTTTAGAGTCGCCGGTATGTCACCGGAGAAAAAGATTGGTACTCATGATGGCTGTTTCCACTGTGATGAAGTCCTATCCATAGTATTACTAAAACACTTGCCAGAGTTCAGTGAAGCTAAAGTTGTACGGTCACGTGATCCAGAGGTTCTGTCTACATGCGATGTGTTAGTTGATGTTGGTGGAATATATGATCCCGACTTACTTAAATTCGATCATCATCAGAAGTTAGTGCGCCAGTTTTTTAACACTAAAGTTTAGGGATTTTTCTTTGTCATGGTCTGAGTATTTTGGAGTTAGAACGTGGGACGTGAAGTTCAGCAGTGCTGGTTTGGTATATGTGCATTTTGGGAAGAAAGTGCTTTCTTTATTAACGGGACTAAAAATTGACAGTGAGGCCCTGGAAAAAATATTCACCAAAGTATATCAGTAGACGTAATAAACAGTTTCAGATATACGAATCGTTCATTTTGGAAATAGATGGCCAAGATAACGGCATTTCTCAGTCTCAGTCACCCATGAAGTAAGTGATTGATGACGCTAACTATTGCCAGATACAATATAAATACTGGTCTGTATTCCAGGGTTCGCCGTCTCAATTCATGGTGGAATCAAGAAGATGAGTCTGAGGTAGGTTTGTCATTCGTTTATTTTACATTCGAATAGAGAAATCTAATTAAGGGGTGCCTGAAAGTGTTAACATCGCTCTGTACCTTTTGCTAATTCCGAAGTCAAGATATAGCATAAGAACAATAATAACAACAGTTGAACCCTGTTTAATACAGGTTTCCTATTGTGGGATGATGGTTGCAGTCAGATTGCTGGTATACTAAATAAGTGGTTAATGTCTGCGTGGTTAGCTAAACGTTTTGAAAACCAGACACTGAAATAATGTGAAAAAGCGCTTTTTCACATCGATTGCTCTATGCGCGTAGAGTAAAATGAAAGATAAGTAAGGTAAAAGGTTCGCAATTCATTCCTACTGTTTCTAATGACTAGTTTACAACAACAAACAAGTAAACAAAGCATTAAAATTAATACAGGTATTGATTTCAATCAGTCAACTTTATGATAAACTCAATAAGAATTTACGATAATGTCCACAAACATGTAAAAAAAGGCTAAATAAGCAAATTAAGGTCATTATTAGGAACACGGATGACTTCAGAATGCCTTTGCATATTATAGGCTACAACATAATTGCTTTCGTACTGGAGCTAGTCTTTGCCATACCATTCTTATACCACACCCTGGTTAACACATTAGGCGCTACGACCCTCCAAAAACCAGGTACTTACATCGCTACCTTATGTTAGATACTGTTCATGTGCATCAGCGACATTAACTTCATAGTAATCTCGGCAACTATTTGGTGTGGTTGCTTTTGCTCTTCCTCTGTTCACATTTTAACTTGAGCGTGCATGTCCTCCATCTATCCACAAATGCTTTTCTTGTACTTGTCCACTTAGATTATCTTACATTTTTTAAAGTGTTATTTTATTCAATACACCTGTTTACGCACACTTCATGTTAAACCACACCATTTATGAGGTCTGAGAATACCACCTGGTTAGTATAGCTTCAGTCAGTGAAACAATTATGGGACCACTTTCAACACTGCCATACCATAAATGACCTCATTCCTTGTTTTAAAATGTTCATGGTTGTGTGATTCAATCACAGCTACTACATTTGGAATTCTGTCGCGCACACTGCGCTCAGGAAAGTTTTTTATTCTTTTTCTGCACAGCACTCAATAGTTATGCATACGTTTTGATTTTACTGACAATGTTTAATGAGTGATTTTTTACTGTCTTGTTTCATATATGAAATTAAATTTGTGTATCTTAAAATGTTTCACTTTGCCATCTTACAAATAGACAGCATTTTGTCGGGCCCTTGAATTAGTGGGTAGGGAATTCCTTGATATTGTGGACTATTTTGCCCATTGCTGGTGGCCTGCTAGGAATATTGTGGAGAAAGCAATGAAATGTCGTGCAGATGTTGATCCCTCAAAAACTATTATAGTGTTAGAAAAGTCATGTCCATGGAAAAGTCATCTGTGTGATCTGGAACGCGAAGAACGCATGGAAACACCTGTGTATCCCGAACCACTGCGCCTGGCAAGTTTTCGCCCGGTACCAAAATTTCCGCCGAATATTCTCTTCGTTGTCCTACCCTCAGATGGAAATTGGGTTGTTCAAGGCGTTCCAAAAGAAAAATTTGAAATACGGTAGGCTGATATATCCTTGTACAAATAACTTTTATTTCACTTTTTGATGGCTGGCACCTTTCTTCTGAGTGTAGAACTGTGTGGATTTTCCGCTTTTAATATTCATACACACCAACAGGATCTAGACATGTGTAGTTTATTTTTGTTATGATTGATGCACTGTGAACTAGACTTTGAAAACTTAGTGGAATGCGCATTTTGTTTTTCGTCCTTTGTGAGCAAAGCATCCTTCAACAGTTAAAACAAGTTGGGTTTCTGAAGAAATGAAACGGTTATGAGGTGCTCATGAGTTATGCGCTGGTGTGTGTCAGCTACGGAAGGTTACACAGTAGGGATATGTAAACAGTCATAAGCTGCATACTGAATATCAAATGGCCAGGATGAATTAGTAAGAAGAAACTGTGGGAACAAACCAAACAAGAGCCGATTGCTTAACCAATAAGTCGGAGAAAATGGAGATGGATTGGGCATACATTGGAGAGACCGTTGAATGACATCGCTCCAAATAAGAAGCGACGAGAGGGTCGTCCTAGGATGACATGGAGCAGATCATGTGAAGAAGAGATGAGAGAGTTTGGGCGATCATGAACCTAGCTGAAGAGAGTGGCAGAAAATAGAAGAAAGTGGAGATGTGTTGTTGAAGCCCTGTGTTACACTCTAAAACCAAGGGAACAATACTAATGATAAAAAATAATAGACAGTCAGAAACAATATGACTTGTGATAGTAATATTCATACCAGTAATAAGGAATTATTTTGGCAGTACGCTTGCATGTTAATAAATATACATGACAAGTCCAAGCATTATTATGGACTGATATAAATTATTTATAATAAAACTTACAACGTGGTCACTTGCCATGTTCCTTATATTCAGATGATTTTTTAGAAAGCCAGTGGTTTATTATTCGTAAATCCTGATATTATCCATTAGTTTATCCAACTAGGTGGAAATCTTGCATTTCGCTTTATAGATGTACTTCTGTACTTTACCTCAGTCCATCTGGAAACGGTGCAATTGTGTCATTCTCTCTACAGGTATCAGATAAATCACTGGCATGTCCTAGTAAACTTACTGGTAGTAAGACGCATTTGCTCTAGAATATAAAATCCAATGTTGCACCAGCGAGCAATAGAGTTTTCTGTATGCCATCATGGCAAAGGGAAAGATACTATACTCGCTAATTTCTTTTGTCTCTGCTTACAAAACTTAACGTTGTAGCTGTAACTATATGAAGAGTGGTCCTTATCAGAAGCTATCCAGATTGCTGAAAGAAGGATAACAATTATCACACCAGCAGATAATTTTAAGTTCTAAATTACGGAAGCTAAGTTAGCTGGAGAAACACATTGCTTACTGTATCAACAAAACTGCGATTGTGATGGTTTTTTTGAAATCATCGGTTTTTAGTTAACATGGATTTCAGAAATCAGGACAAACATTATTTCACTTGGCAACCGACGATGGAAACCCATTCCCCTTGGTTATAGAAATCGCCTCCCATTCTGGGAAGTTTGCCTGGACCTTGACCATGCATTAATTTGTTATACACCTGTATCTTCTATTGAATGCATAATATATTAAGCTTGTATTTGAAGTGGAGTTTGTTAGACGTTTATCTAAACATTAAAGTGGTACTTATCCTAAACATGTCTTTCAGCTGAAGACTAGGTAAAGTGGATGGGATTTTATGTCTTTATCCTAACTGATTTATTGAGCTCAAAGCTTGAAAACACTGAACAATGCTGAAACGTCTTACCTAACGTGCTCTTAACAACTGTAAACAATTGGATTCCAAGAGTAAACAAAATGGTAAAAGACATCAGCTTTAGCTAATGCCCATAATTTATTTGGTTCTGTTAGTGGCATAAACTATAGAAAACTGGTAAGTTTAGAGATCCTAGAAAAAGATGACACACTGAGCAAAATATTTTGACGTAGAGTTCAAATAACTTATAGTTACCATTATCCAATCCCTCCGTGAACGAAACGTAAGCATTGTGCCCCCGACTCTAGATATAGTTCAAAAGAATTCTAAAGGAGGCAGTTTGCAGGACTTGGTTGTATAATTTTATTACTGTTTAAGGGTATTGGTAAGAAATTGTTGGCTAGAATTCTCAATGTATCAATTGAAGTATTGAAATTCGGCAAAGTTACATCATACTCGCATGTATCACTGATGATTCCGTGTGGGAGAAAAGGAAAATCTTTCTGTAATAACCAAACTTTGTCACCAAATTTGCATATGAAACATGTATTGTCAGAGACTAAAGTTCAAGGTACGCTGAATAGTTTCTCTGTTCATCCCCAGTTGCAAATATTCTTCATTAATTTTTGGCGAGTTCAGTTTGGGTTACATATTATCTAGAACTCTGGGGCTCAAAGTTGTAGAAACATTTAGTGAAGCATGAAAAAAGCAGACCGAAGAACTATCTAGGCTTTGTACCTAAACACAGATCACTGATCAAATCTTCATACTTCTGCGCTCTCGGAAACGTATATGTTTATTAGTATACATTTCTAATATTTTTAGATTGGAGAGCGTCAGTCATCCTCATCTATCAAGAGGAATTGTAGCAATGTTTGGCTACAACAAAAGTGACGGTAAATCAGCATGTCCTACTGGAACTTACGCAGGTATGTAATATCTAGTGAAGAGTTGTCGTCTGAAGAGAAGATATCTGGCGGCTTCCTCCACGGATGCCAGAAATCACTGTTGATATTCACTGTTATGGGAGATGTTCTGATGCAGGCTGGTCTGTTCAATTACTGAGGAAATAATTTGTTACTCGAGAAAGATATTACTAACTAAAATCCTGAAGCCAGTATGTTGTGCGTCTAGATAATGCTGACACAATGCAGTCCTGTGCAAAACTTAGTACAATTGAGATGTGTTTCGTTTTTTCCCATTATTAAATAATGCCACAGGATAGATTCGCACTGAACTCCGGTGTTGACCACTTGACTTGTCTGAGAAGTTGCACTGATAGTTACATACTTTTTTGCGGCTAAATCTCAGAGCAGATGCGAAAGGTTTGTTTGGTATATGCCAATTGATGTTATCTTTGTTGCCAGCAAGATATCCAGATACTTATTAAAAGCCATTCGCTCACTGTTACCTTACGACTGTGACAGTCTTGAAATGTAAAAGAAATGAAGGGTAGACAAGTTTCTGATGATCAGTGCGTCCACTGGGTTGTTCACGTTAGATAATACGACGCAATTTATTGACATTAGATGTTGTTATTAAACCGATGAGACTGCGACAGTTCATCGCTTGTGGTGGTTGAAACATATACTTCGATAAGCTGTGTTATCTGCAGTTAATATTACGTCAGGATAAAGTTAACGGTATTCAAATGAAATCATAGTGTCGATCCAAAAGGTTTATGACTTGGGTCCTCAACGTGCTAGAAAGTCGCGTGTTGGAGACTCCTCATAGCATGACTTTTTATGATCTTCCAGAACTTCGACTAATTCAGTTATCTTCCTGTATTTATTTTTTGTTTATTTATTTTAATGTAAGATAATCTAAGTGGACAAGTACAAGAAAAGCATTTGTGGATAGATGGAGGACATGCACGCTCAAGTTAAAATGTGAACAGAGGAAGAGCAAAAGCAACCACACCAAATAGTTGCCGAGATTACTATGAAGTTAATGTCACTGATGCACATGAACAGTATCTAACATAAGGTAGCGACGTAAGTACCTGGGTTTTGGAGGGTCGTAGCGCCTAATGTGTTAACCAGGGTGTGGTATAAGAATGGTATGGCAAAGACTAGCTCCAGTACGAAAGCAATTATGTTGTAGCCTATAATATGCAAAGGCATTCTGAAGTCATCCGTGTTCCTAATAATGACCTTAATTTGCTTATTTAGCCTTTTTTACATGTTTGTGGACATTATCGTAAATTCTTATTGAGTTTATCATAAAGTTGACTGATTGAAATCAATACCTGTATTAATTTTAATGTTTTGTTTATTGTTGAATTTTTTTTACTAGGTTACCGTTTCCTGTTGAGTGGCGTGCACTTCGAGGTGATGACTTATGTTCAATAACTGGAATATCAGATTGCATTTTCGTTCATAATGCTGGTCATTTAGGCGTCAACAGAACACGTGAAGGTGCCATTGAGATGGCTCGTGCTGTCATAAAGTCATCCAAACATGATGAGGAAAATCTCCCTAGTATGCGTCTGGGTCCAGTTACATTTAGTCGCGGTTGTAAATTAGCTGTTCCAGCGCGTAGTCGGAAATTGTAACTGTTTATGTTATTTGTTTAAACCCGCGACAAACTTGTCAAGTCAAAACTACCAATATGCTAGCTAACCAGTCGCTAATACATGTTAGCAATTATTTTTTTAACCATTTCATTCCGGATGCTTTAAACCACTTCTGCTTTTGTTTTTCTAAAGTGGCCGTTTTGCATTCAACGTCATTTACGCATTCACTTATATAATTTTGTTTCTGTTGGAAAACGCTTAATTACCTTACCATTACGAGGAAAATTCATCACTCATACTACCACAGAATATTCTTACTCCCATTATTTTCTCGGCAATTCATTCTCATCCAACCATCTGTTTTTAACTTTTAAATATTGAGATAATTTTATACTTATTTAAGCAACTGAATAAAAAGACGTAATTATATTTTCCACGGTTTGATTTAGACAATAACATTATTGTTCGCTTTTTTACATCATTGCAATATGTAAAAGAAACGCTCAAAATTTCATACGGTAAATTATTATTGTTGTGGAATAAAGTGATTTTTATTATTATTTTGAGTCCTTATGTTCCTAATGGGTCAAATTATGACTATGATTTTAGTTGGGATTATTGATACATATGTTTAAAAAAGAACTGCTGATTGTTATAAGATCATATTGGCAAAAAGCTGTAGTCGTAGTCTTTTCAGAATTTTCAGATCGTCGGTTTCAGCTGTGCAGGAAAGTGTAGGCCGTGTGTTTGAAACTCTGGGTAAGCTGATAATTAGTCTTTTAAGGTCGTTGGAGGTAATTCGAAGCCATGCACAGTTGCATTCACTTCTTATGATCTCCAAGATTTTGAATATTTTGGTTAATATCCATTAAATTATCCTATCTGCTGCCATGCTCATGTGTTTGCCCATTGAAGTAATATTCTGTTCCTGATCTTTTCTTGTTTTGCTTCGAGTTGCTTCATTTTGGACTGATACGCTTTTGTGCAGAGCCTTCTTATTCATCTGTTTCCAAGTCACTAAACTGTATTGATTTGGACTGCAGATGGTTCTCACGCTGCTGTAGCTCACTGGTTTCTAAACTAACAGCCTAACTGAGGTTTTCGAAAGTGTTGACAATACTTTTGGCACATTGCGAATTCACGAACATGCACATAGTATTTGAGTTACGCTTTTCCTTCTGAGGTTGGCAATAAGAAATATGCACGATGTGTGTTGGCATTATAATCTTAAATAAAGAGTTTCAGGAAGTAAATGTTACCAGCTCGTATAAACATCTTCAATGCATGTAATTATGACGCTAATCACACTATAGTTCTGAATTACAGTAATTCATAACCGATAATCAAATTAGATTAATTAGTTGAAATAAGTGTTGTTTCGTAGAACTTCTTTGCTGTATAAAATCTAAATTCGTCGTAAAAATTATGGGATATTAACTGACATATCTGTTAATTCGCACATAATAAAGCAATTCTTACTCATCTGTGCACAAGCATAGAATTTTTATATCAAGTAATGTCAGTATTCAGACAGGAATTCCGGTCAGTGTTGTTTCGGTTCACAGTCACAGCCTTGCGAAAAAGTGACCCCAATGCAAATAAAAGAAACATGTAACCACTAAGCCATGTGGTCGAAATTCAATATGTCGGTGTATTCCATTATGGGTAAAATTTATTTTGATACAGCTTCACAGTGTTATACAGAAATATTTACTGTTGATGTTTCGAGCACAATTTATTGCTCATAATCATATATCGGTCTATTCCAACTCCTATCAGTTTTCACTTATCGATGTCTCCGGTGAGTATTTGTCCCCGCGCGCAAATCTAATGTTTGTATGAGTCATAATTAATATAGGCGACTGACTGACCTAGCAGCTACTCTCGCACAACTGGATTTGGTCATCGTTTATTTGGAACGGAATATAGGTAGGTTAATTAGGATAAATCGGGATGTTTGGTTTGCAGTAGTGTATCACAAACACATTAAACACCAGGACTTGGGTGTGAGATGAAATCAGCAACTGATTCTGGCAATAGCCTGAAGCTATTCCAAATTATCCGAGTCAACGGCAGCAAGAAACATGGTGTTAGTGAAACAGCTTGTGACGCGTGGAACGCTAGGCAGAGCAATACGCAAAGCAGTTTACCTGGCCAACAGTGCCAGCATCTAACACCAACTACGGTGCTAAATCGTCGGCCAGTGCTCACTGACCAAACGAAGCGGAGGTCTGAAAGGAACTCCAAGTGTTGAGACGCTTCAAGATACCAGGGCCAGACAGCGTAACCCCGGTACCTTTTAAAAGTGGTGGCGAAATCCTCTTCACAGCATTCATTGGACTGTTCAGGACAGTATGGGGAAGTGAGAATGTTCCATCCGTGTGAAAGCTATTATCCTTACCATCCTTATAAAGAGCCGATGTAATACGTGCTACAGTTCTAGGGGAAATAGTTTGCTACCAGTCGTGTTTAAAATATTGGCTGCTGTCTTACTTCGCAAAAAACGCGAGGAACCGATTCGCGTGGAGCAAGACTGAGTTTTCTTCAAGCCGTGGACGCACTGATCATGTTTTGACCCTTCCTCAGTTGCTAGAACACGTATTGCAGGCCAACAATCGTTGCCGATAAGTTCGTGTACCTAGATAATTGTGTGAGTGCTGCAAAAGTGTGACGAAAGAAATCTATCATCGTATAGTAGGAGCTAGGGTAGCATATACCAATTTGGGTAACCTCTAGCTATGTCAGCCTGACCGTCAAAGGTTGGGTTTACAATGCTTCGGTGCTCGCAGTCTTGCTCCACGCATGTGAAACCTGTCCACACTGAGGATGTCCGGTGACTCTACGTATTCGATCTTCACTGCCGCCGTATATTTGCTTGCGTTTGACGGCATCACCATGTAAGTTACTTTTAGTATGTTTGCACTCGGTGGAGGTCACCAGTCATCTTGAAATAGTAGCTTCTGTTGCTTGGATATGTGCTAAGAATGTCGTATCAGAGACTTCCGTACGGTTTCTGTTCGCTGGCCTGTGAAATGGAGCCGTGTAAAAGGGGGTATTTGTGTTAGGTTAGCATCAGTTGGTGCATTGCGACCAATGGTTGCGGCTCAAGAGATAGTTCTAATCTCTGTTTCGAAACGTTATCATACATGATCAAGAATCGCAAACACTGGCGAACATGCTCCAATTTACTTCTTTTTTCGCTTTCTGAAAATAAAATTGATCTAATCTTACGTAATAGTAAACACGATGCACTTAATTTTTTTCACTTTTTTGGGAAGTATGCATTATTTTCGATACTGCAGTTTATGAATGTTTAAGTCATTAAGTGTAAGTGGCTACCTTTGTGGGACATATATATAGTATTCTTTATTATGTGTAACTAGTTCTAATTTGAATATCTAGCAAAGTGGCGGTTTCTAAGTGACCTTGCTGTTGTGATTTCGGCAGATAAATTTGTGTTGTGAGAAAACTATCCTGAGAAGTCCTGCTACCTCGAAGTAGAACACAATGTATCAAAGCGTAACATCACCAAAAAAGGAAGCAAAACAAATTGCATTAGTATATCAAACTAGTGACTAATTCCTTCATTTATTGAGGAGAAAGAACATAAACTGAGAAAGAAATTATACAACACATAAGAAACCCTGTAAGAATCTAGAAGACGATAACTGATAATGCAGAATGGTGTTGAGAATGCGAATTTCTCATTTTCAAAATTGAAGTGAAATACATTCGAGTTTCACGATGATGACGTAAAATAAGTTAACGCGAGCGTATAGATGAAGTAACAGTATCACTAATTAGAAGTAACTGCATACGGAGAGTTAAAGACAGGCTGAAATGAGATCTACAATCCATTCACATTGCCATACGACTGCTTATACTGGTAACTACACTATTAGTCTGTCCAATTTCGTTCACTCTTTCATCTTCTTTTCTGTTTATTTCCACGTTTCCGTGCTTTTATCAATTTTTCCCATTCACCGTGGTCTTATCAACTTTAACTGTTTTCCTTTCTATTCCTGTTGAAATTTGTACTCGTCGTCTTCATTTTTGATTAGCCTTGATTCGTAGTTTTCGCTCTTTATACGATTCTTCCCTTCAATGTCTGTCAGATTTTTGTGTTTTTTCTTCATTGTGATCTTTTTCATATCTTGTGTAGTTTGAAAATTAAAACTGGAGGATTTCCGAGAAGATTAATTTCTCATGCATGATCTGTTAACTCAACAGTTGTCATGTTTATTTTAGTATCAATTTTGTGTACACAAACAAGGCTAGTGAATTACATTAGAATTACGGAGAAATAATCTATTCAAATTGTTATCTTGAGTTAGTTCATCTTTAGTTTAATGAATAATCTTCAATAACTGTGTGAAACATTTCTCAAAAATTGATTTCATGAGTATGGAGAACTTCTGAATGCAATGCATATCATCTGTAATATGAAATCAAACAAGTGAATTATTGACTGTTGAAGGATTGTTTCTGCTAAGGTTAAATATTTCTCCTGTAATCATTTTAAAATAAATTCGACTGTTAACAGAATACTGAAATTTAATGTGCTTCTGTCTTGTATTCCATACATCAGAATTTACTGATTTCTTGTATTGCATGGGATTTTAAAACCTCTGATCACTGTGTAATTAATTATTTAACACAGATTATTTCCGGAAGTTAGCAAGAATAACCAAATAGGTACAATAATACTGTGGTGGGGTGATACAGACAATGTGTTCCAACGGTATATTATTCTCACCTATTCCCACAGTTCAATACTTCAATAGCAACAGAATACTATATGTGTATTTGAACATTCTATTTCATATAGTTCAATGTAAACCAAAATCACACTCTTAGTTATTGGTTAAAGAATTTAAACTGTATAGATATAAGTAACGGTTTAATCATTTGAAAATATACGTTTACTTCCGTGTCTTGCCTTCTGATGTTACATTTGGTGTATCTGCCTGCCGACAAATGAGGAGCCTATGCTCTGTAGGCTCTGTTTTTGAAGGAGACGTATGGATCTTCTTGCAGGATTTCGAGGCTGTTGCGGAGTTGAATGGCGTTCCAAATCTGTCAGTGAAGAGGCTTTTACTTGGAACGCTGCTGAGAGGTCAGGCGAAGGCAGTATATGATAGTGTGAGGCGAATACGTGCTAGGGTCACGCAGACTGCTGCCAAAGTGGGATGGACCATACACGGTTATTATTTTGAGTTGTCAGTCTTGTAGTTAGTAGGATGTTTTTTGTAGAAATTATGTTTGCCGCTAATGTCTCAAGAAAATGTGTGAAACTATCACCCACTCAGTTTGATTTTATTAGTGTCGTGTCTCGACAGAAAAAGTAATTATTCAGTTATGATACTCTGTTATTTACAAACCCATCGAACATGTTTACTTTATGATATCTCGTAAGCATTATTCCAACATCTGAAGTCTCTAATATATTCGTGTAAAATTTCTACTCTCTTTGTTTGCCTGTGTAACAACCGGTGCGAAATTGAAATATTTCCTACGGTACTCATGAATTTTTGCTACAAAACAAATCAAAATAATATGCACAATAAAATGTTCACTAAAAGTATAAAGAATTTTACAAATTAATGTTCCTGTCCATTTAACTGAATTATTCTTAGTGTTTTCGTGATACATTTAATCAATCGTCCTCTTCTTCTTCTTGTTCTTCTTTCGTTTCATCTTCGGCTTCAGGTGGGTTGAGCAGTGTTCTTAATGCACTCTCTTCTGCTGGGGTTGGATCAATGGCTTCATTTAAATCAGACATTTCTTGATATTCATTCATTTCAATTGGTTGTAATTGAGGTTGAAAACCTGAAATCACTGATTTCACGCCCCAGCCAATGTAGATGTTTTCAAAACGTCTGAGAAAAAAAATCCATCAAATGTTCGTAATAGTGATGAAAGACATTAGTGTTATAAACAACTCGTAAGAATTGAAAAGAGTGAAGAGAAATAGTTACTTCATTCTTCACGAGTTCTATGGATAACCAGTAGGTTTTGATGATGCTTTCTCAAATGCAATAGGAAATACCAGTGAAGAAACGCAAAATACCTGCCATGCTCCTATTTGGTAAATACATTTTTTGACCACTAATTAACAATGTTCTAAACTATGCCAGGCATATCATACTGTTTTCACAAGTTCCAAGTGTCGAATCTTCTGTAAATTCCAACCCTTTGGCAGAACGATTCATAAATGTATTAAAACTCCTTAATTATTCATTGTCTTCTAGGAAGAAAAATGTTCACTTCACTCCCGAATGAATGAAAAAGTATTTTCCACTCGTATGCTGATTAATAAATTACTTGGGAAAAATTACATGGAAAATAATAAGATGTATTGATTTCTCCATTTTAGTTTGTAGTATTTAAGGCTTCCTACCGATTGCCTCCAACCATCTAATATCATTATAGTATTTAACTTACCTATTCTTGCCTAATTTTTTTATTACAGCCAATTGTTTAGTTAATTTTACCACCATAAGAGTTTACATAGCTCATTATATGTTTAGAACATCTTGTTTCTAGTCCTGTACCTTAATTTTGAAAACTATTCAAATAATAGATAATCTGTGTAATATTGTTTAAACTATTAGTAGCACAGTAATTCTGCATATATATTGCAACCTGCAAGTCTTTGTTTTTCAAACTTGATATTATTGGCTTAAAAAGTAGAATGCCTTTATTTAATATCAATACATTTCAATTATACCTCATAATACTTCTGGCCTGACTATAGATGCCCTTACAGAGAATCAGCATTCTTACTGATAGCATAGTGTTCTGCAGTTTATGTTCTACCACAACATCCTTGTGTAAAAACATATTTTATATGATAAATTAGCCTATTTATAATTGAATAATGTATTTTCGCTACTGAGAAAGTACTTTTCGGGACGAAATTCTGCATAGCTTTAGTGCTTTCATGCTTTACACGTGTTGGTTTAAAGATATATACTACATGTAAAAGATGTCATATCCTTCTTTCTGTTCTACTTTTAAGTGATGTATAGTTAGGCTAAGAATTTAAGCCAGCAATACGTGTAAACTGAAATCTCACTTAATTAAACAAAAAAGTCGGGAACACTCCTGATCGCTGGGGATTTATTTTTAGAACGATGAGAAATTTTCTGTTCCCTGCTACATTTGTAGGGTAGATCTTAGATATTTGCACATTTTGGAACATAAAAATATTTCATAAATTTAAATTATTTTGCATTTTACGTCAACTGCGATCCCGATATGACCTAACAGTTCCGCCAAATTGGGCTATGAGTGGAAAGCAAATGTGCATAAAAGGGTAGCTTTGTGAAATCACAACGATAATGAAACAAGTTTGTCTAACGAAACGTTGGAATTACTTATTTCAGTATCTGTAAGACTGAAGTGCAGTGTTGCGTGTTACTATTAAAAGAATTATTGAAAAAATTCTTTTACAAGTTACCTGCCCCAAGCAACTGCATGCGCTCCAATCCAAAGATTTGATGATACAACAACACATGCATACTCAGGTAATAAGTTGGAACTCATTTTGACTGACCAAGGCTTTTGTCCAAATATAGGGAAATCAGATGAAATTGGTGTAAGTATAGGCGGTCCATGTTCTGGTTTCACTGCATTTTTTGTATTACCATCATCTTCTTCGTTTTCTTCCTCTTCATCGTTGAACTCATCAAAGTCTTCCCCTAAACCTTTCCTCGGGTTCCACCTGAATAAATGTGAAGTCGGATAAGGAAGTTTAAAACAAGGCAATATTAAATACTTCAGCTAGTTAACTGTGAGAATTTTCTAAGCATATGTAGATGTAGCTTTTGGATTGTAATAATGTTGTGATAACATGTAATACTTTGAATATGATACTGTTGGATATTATCACTAATTACTGCTTACTGAAATATCTGAGATAAAATCGCATAACATACTGAACTCTATATGATAAAGGGTTTCTCTAACAAACAACTGATTGTACTTATTTCTTAATTTAGTTGGAAAAGAACTAGTTGTGTTGTGTGATAATGAATAAACATTTTTGGGTTATTCATTTATTTCACATCTAGGCTCAATAATCAGTAACTGAAGTGTAGATGGAAGCAATTTTTCCCTTGCGATAGACACTGAACTCATTTTCAAGAAAGGTATAAAATATGCCGTTCATTTTATTTAACACTTTTTATTAAACTTACCAGTAAACCCTTCCTTGTGGTAGAATGTAAGATGTGTGATGAACCCAGTGTTCAAGACTTGGATCAGCCAACACATTCATACTTAGTGGTTCATATTCTTCATTTTTAATATAGTTTTGTCGTCCACCTTCTTCTTCATTTTCAAGCTCCTCTTCTTCTTCGTTCGTTTCAACAGTGTAATAGCCTGCTGGAGATATTTGTGTAGATGCACTGATCCTAGCTATCTGGGCACGCAAATAATTAGCTTCAGTACCAGGGAAAGGTGGGTAACAGGCTACTGGGGCATCCAATATGCCAGTGAATAGACGCCGCACCTTAATCGAAATAAAACATTCTCTTACGACTCATGAATCACCAACAAGTTACTTTTTGTATTTCGGTAATATTTAGGCAATATACTACAATGAACGAATTAAGTATAGTGCATATTCACTAAACAACTGTTCTAGTTTGAATGACCTCTTCTGAATGGCTGTTTAGTAGTAAATTCATTTGTGACATTAGTCCACATTAGGAAACCTATTCACTTCAGTAGAACTACAGTGTAAATTATTTTACAGCTCAACAGATGACCAATCGGGAGAAAATAAATTCCTTCAAATCACTACCTGGGGTGTTTCATTACACGATGGCTCAATCAAAACAAAAGAAGCAACTTTTAGTAACATCATATCCTCTGAACGGTTAGCAACAATGTACAGGTTAGAAGAAACAATGCGCTATGTTGTACAACAGTCTTCCTTTTCAAATGGTCGAATATTTCAGCTATAAAGTGAGAAACATTACACAGACTTCGTTTGTTTTGTTTCCGACATCCTGGTAGTTTATGAAAACCATATCCAAATTCAAATATTTCTTCGATATAAACGGTTCATTTACTTGTCCAACTGTCTAATATATTATTTTCTACATTACGTCAACAAGACTTAACAACATATACCTATAAAGAAACAGCAGTTAATATTAACGAAATCAATATTTCATAAATGATGCTTTACTAGTGTATTTCCATCCATGATTCCAAGAATATTGTAAACAAATGGGTTTAATAGATGTGTAAAGTAAGATTGCATTTTTTTATAGACTACTTTACTTTCTATACAATATCCACATTTCTGAACCAAACATTGTATTTTGCAGGAGGTAACTAGATTAATATTTTCTATTTCCTGTTAAATATCGAAATATAAATTCTTCTACTGTAACTGAAATTATACGACGACTTACAGCTCGAGCAGCTACTATCTGTTCGGGTGTTACTGGTGGTAGTTTTATCCACCGTAGACCTGGTTCGTGACAGACAAAATAAACTTTCTTATTAGTTCCAACATGATTCTCCTCTCGAGGGATCTTAATTGGTGGCTTCCATTTAGATTTTGGAAACTCTTCTTTGCCTTCATAGAAAAATAACGCAGAGTTTTAAATTAAATATAGCTCAATGCTTACCCAAGTTGGTATATTATTTACATAGGTAGGTTATTTTCATTTAATTTTTTGTGTCTAAAACATGTTACAATAAAGGTGTATGTATTTAAGACTACATGTCACAGCTGAAAAAAGTAACGAACGGTAGCTATTTTTTCATAAAGGTTTCAATCACACAGTACAGTTTTTCTGTTAATATACTTCGAGTCAAAGTCTAGTTATTCAATCTGCACAGTCAGTGAAAATGGAGTTGTAACATTTCAGTTGAAATCGGTTATTCATACAGTATGACATACCAAACTGTTGTATGAATTCACCCAATGTATTAATTAAGCCTTGGCATTCTGTAATATTACTTATCTCTGTTATTTATTTTAATCCTATGTAACAACTTGACTGAAATTACCCAGGCGGTCAAAACTACAGGACCTCATTTATACACGCTCCTCAGTATACTAAAATATAATACCAAGACAGTGAAAACAAAATGAGGGTAATATTTACAGTTTCAGTCACTCCCATTGACCTTCAGTATTCTTTTGTTAATAGGCAGCAATAAGTAAGCAACAGTCGTATTTATGTTTCAGTAAACATAGTTGTTGGTAAACCTTGGTTCTACCCCCGAATATTTTTCCAAGAAGGCATTTTTGACATCAGTAGCTAAATGTCAGAGATCATATTGCTCCGTGTATATACACAACCAAAATAAAATGCCTCGATATTCAAAATCCGCGAGTTTATTTAGTTCTAAACAATTATTCACTTCTGTTTTATTTTTGTGATTCAATTTAGAATGAGATAAACTACCACAGTCAAATTATCTGTGGTGTCTTGAACATGCAAAGCATAATCACTCGTATATAACCACAGACAATAAAATACAAAATACGTTAAGAGTTCCTTATGATATTTCTGGCATATCATTTTAATGCTCACACCTTTGTAAACTCAAGAATCTAGAAAACAGATTTTTAAAATGTCTCAGTAGATATTTCAACATGATTCAGTATTGATCAGTCAAACGTCGAAAAATTGAAACCAGCCGACAGACTTTTACTCATAGTTATGACTTCCTTCCAGTAGGAGCCCATATTTGCAGAACCGACTTAAACCTTTGGCGTCATGTACTGTGACATATAGGTTAAAATACAGTTACTGAACTGTCAAAATAGTACTATATCAGACTCTTTATTTTACTGGAATTTTTAGCGCATATTTCTCCCACTTGAGAATTTTTCACATTATCAATACTAGGTACGCATTAATGCTTCACAACTCTATCAGATCCTCCTTTGTCAAAATATCAAATCAGTCAGCCGTCTAGCTTTATTTATTTTATTTTATTTTTGATTACAGCTTGATGCCACACCGTATTTTCAGTACAAGTATGGCATTTTCAGCATGGATATCGGTAGCCCAAATTTTACAGGCCGACCATAGATATCGGGTGTGCGTCGGCAGGGGATCGAACCCCGGACCATGTGCATGGTTGGCGAGAGTCCTAACCACTGTGCCACCGACGCAGTAATTTTAGGTTAATTTATTGCATTGTGTAATATTTAAATGGCTCCCTCAAGATCATTTGATCATATCTTAAGTTTGAAAGATTATACTAACACCAACCTTCCTGCCCATTCTCATCAGATACTTCGGCTGTCTCTTGGCTAAGTGAATTCGCATCCTCTTCTTCGTCTACGTCTTCCCCTTCAGCAAACTCCACCTCAACTACGTAATAATTCTGTATTACACCGAAAATTTTCCCCCAAAATCGTGCACTTTGAACAGCTTGTGTATTCACTAAAGCTTTTATTGCCATGTTCAGTGCAACAGTCTCGATGCGTCCGATTCCTATACCTGCATTTTCAAAATAGAATGCGTTTTCCACTACGTTGGGCAATGGGTGTTCATCGCTTTCGTCCGCAACAGGCTCCTCATCATCTTCCGAACTTTTCTAAAAGACAAAATGTTCAAGGACATACCAGTAAATAAATGAAAAGGCCATACCGTGAACAGCTTCTGCTGAATTTTCGCCGTTGAAAAGGCAGCAGGATTAGAAACTGTAAGGTCTTCTAAGCCGTGCCTTTTATTTTCCGCTTTCAAGCGACTACTAAGAACCTCGAAATCGCTGAAGTCATTTGACTTTTGAAGCGATAACATTTGTTTCACACAGTTCTTCAAGTGTTGAAATCTGTTGAATACGTTTCTCACTTAATATACATAAAAAGACTCACAGATTTGTTCCATAGCTATCGCTTATTTCTAGTAGCTTTACTTTATGTCTCAAGAAACTGTTATCATTCCGAACGATGTCTTCCATGTCAAGGTCACTATTTAATAATGTACAGGTTTCTAACGTCATGCCAACAGGAACGAATGTCCAATTTCCGCCAAATGTGAGAAGTTTGCATAAGGCTGGTGATTTCTGAAAGTTGACCGCCTAATGTTATGCGATTATTTTTTGCTTCTTGCTGATTGCATTTTTAACTTTTCATCTACTGTTGTAGATCTTTTCAATATAGTCCAATATCCAATATCCTTATTACGAGCTAGTATAAACCAGTGATTTCTTTGAGCTCGCTTCTTGATTGTAAGGTAGAGGTTCCAGATCTTCGGTGAACTTATGCGTAGTAAATCCCGCCACTCGACAGCTTTAGCTCTGGTAGACTCCAAGAGGAGTGGTGCGAGGATTGGTCAAGATTGTGTTTGTAATGTGCAGTATGTTAGGACTCAGCTGCTGCCGTGAATGGAGTTTGGCCTAACACCCGTTGGTCATTCGGTATAGTCATAAAAGTAGAATAGTAATAATAATAATAGGTTGTAGTGTAGATAATATAGGTTGAGATAAGTGAAATAATAAAGGTGAAATAATAAAGAAAGAAAGAAAAGATAGAGTAGTCAGTACAGTGGGAGAAGACAGGATGGGTCGTGGGGATTTAGCTTGTATGCTTATCCATTGACAATGTGGTTTCAAATTTTAAGAGGGTAAGCCATTGAGACACAAACCATGCATTTCTGCATGATTGTCCAGCTTCCGCTTAAAAGTCTCCGCAGATGGAGCTGTAGTTACGGCCGCCGGTAAAGCGTTCCAGAGACGGCAAACTCGAAGCGAGAAGAAATGTGAACGCACTCGAGTCCTTGGTCTCTGGTGTGCTATCCTTAGCGGGTTACCTCGTGGAAGCCTATAATCACTTAATGGCAGGATGCTCTTATTAGGATGGGCCTGGTCATTTAGGATCTTATAGACGGTGATGAGGTCTCCCCCGTGACTACGGTAACTAAGTGTGAAAAGACTTAATTTCTTCAGTCTCTCCTCATATGATTTGTTGCGGAGGCCGATCACCCATTTTGTCGCTCGTCTCTGGACACTTTCTAGCATGTTAGCATCCCTTTTGAGTAGCGGAGGAGCAATGATATTATGCACCTCAAGGAGTGGCCTCACGTATGTCGTATACAACGTTAGGAATATTTCAGTAGTAAGAGCTCCCAGCTGCCTATGCATAAAGTGTAAAGTGGCGTAAGCTTTGGCGACGTCCCTCGTGTAATTTACACTGGTGTCTAGCTTTTCTGTTAAAATAAGGCCTAGATCGCGTTCTGATGGCACACAACTCAAGTTCTGGCCACCAAGGGTGTAATTTGCACTCTGTGACCTGCCGGAATGAAGTTGCACTACTTTGCACTTCTTTAAGTTGAAAGGCATTCCGTTAGCCAGAGCCCAGTCTCCCAGAGTTTGCAGGTCAGCCTGCAATCTGTCGGAGTCTTCCGATGAGTTTATTGCTCTCCAAATCTTTACGTCGTCAGCGTAAAGAAGCGCAGAGCAATTCAGTTGACAGGGCAGGTCGTTGATAAAAATCAAAAACAACAACGGCCCTAAGATAGAACCCTGAGGAACACCTGATGCCGAGGTGTGCCAGGATGATCGGATGTGGTTGACTTTGGTGCAGAATTCTCTCTCGCCTAAATAATCTTCCAGCCATGCGAGAAGTGCTCCAGAAACACCCGCTTTGCTTATTTTGTGAAGGAGCAGACCATGGTGAACTGTGTCGAATGCTTTCGCAAAGTCGAGAAAGATCACATGGACTGGTACCTTTGCATCCCAGGATAGTGTCCAATCGTTCCAAGCTAGTAGAAGATTCGTCACACAGGATCTTCCCCTCCTGAAACCGTGCTGTGCTTCATGGAGTAGGTTAGTCCCGTCGAAGTATTTTCTCATGTGGTCGTCAATGAGACTTTCCAATATCTTCGATATCACTGGGAGTAGCGCAACTGGTCTGTAACTGGTCGCGTTCTGCCGGTCACCACCCTTGAAGATAGGGGATAGGATGGCTCGTTTCCATTCACATGGAAGTTTCCCTACATCAAAGGAGTGTTGAAACAGATCACTTAGGGGTTGGCAGAGACTTTCTGAACACTGCTTCAGGACGGATGGTCTTATGTCGTCGCAACCTGCAGACTTTCCCGAAGCCAACTTTCCCAATTTTATGAGTACCATAGCCGGGGTAATTTGAAATGTACCCAGCAGGTTTTCGCACGTTGGTCTTGCATTGTAATCTTGATGTTTTGTGGGGGTAAAATCCCGGTTACTGTTCAGTTGCCTGTGAAAGGATAGACTGAATGTCCCTGCCATTTCAAGACTAGTAAGAGATTTCCCATCAGGACCCACTAGATTGCAAGCTCCCTGGTTGGTGGGTTTTCTTTCAGACATAAACCTGTATAGGCTTTTGGGGTTCACGAGAAGCTTATTGGCGAGGTTTCTCTGAAATGTCCTTCTATCACTCCGGACTCGTATGTTACACCGATTCCTGAGTTCGAGTTACTCTTCATGTTCGGGTTGACTCTTCGATACTCGCCACGCAAACCAGGCTTTTCGCTTCGCCTGCAGAAAGCTTGTGTCCCCCTTTTTAGCCATGAACGTTGCTTTCTAGCTTTTGGTGTGACTAAAGGAACAGTGTCTGAGACCGCCTGGTGAATGATCTCCTTTACCACTCCCCAGTGTTCTTCTACTGTAAGCTCTGTCCAATTTTTTGGCCAATTTGCTTCAGACAAAAGTCTTCGCATTTCGGTGTAATTGGCTTTGTTATAACACAGATAGGGCTGTGTATTGTCCCACTGTAAACGCTCGCGGAGGACTATGTCGAATGTTATGACCGCATGGTCACTACTACCTATGGGAGTCGTGATCTGAACGTTTTCCACTAGTAGCTGGTCACCAGTGAGCACGTAATCCAGTCTAGAAGACTTCACATCTGGGCCCCATCTAGTATCCATTCTGACATTTTCAGTGAATCCAGCCTCCCTTATGGTATGCAGCAGATTTCGATCAAATCCATTATGGACATATCCCGTCATCAAGTTAAGAGATGAGGCATTGAGGTCTCCAGCTGTGACAATTTGATGATAACCCATGTCTTTTTTCGCTGGAATTGCATTCAGCAGTACCTGGTTGTGGCCTGCTCCACATGAAGGTGATCTGTAAATGCTGCCCACTGGATACTTACAGTACCCAACGGTGAAATGGCACCATATGGAGTCAGGGAGCTCAATGAGGGGAGGGTCGATTGCATGGACACATCTGAGCTGTTTGTCGACGTATATGGCGACTCCACCTCCTTCTTTCAGATCCCTATCTCGCCTGACTAGGACCATATCATTTATACTGATTTCGCTGTCTGCCACCGTAGGAGTTAGCCAGGTTTCCGTCAGTATTATGATTTTGGAGTTCAGCTGTGATTGTAGGTATCTAGGTTCAGCCATTTTGCCTCTTAGACCTCTCACATTACTGTACAGGCAACTGGTAGTCAGTCTCACCACGTCCCCGTATTGGGGGGTGGTTGACGTGATGTGTGCTGTCGGTTGAGGAGTTATCCTATGGACTAGTTGGCCGATTCCCCGGGAACCAGCCTGTTGGCGTTTTTCTTTCTGATTCAATCGGAGCACTTGGATGACACTGGCTATCATCGTCCGTGCTGCACCGCTGTATTGTGACTAGGGGATGGGGATGTTCTATGACAACGTTTTGTTCTCTCCTTTGGGTACGAGGCCGGCTCTCACAGCAGCGAATGTGTCTGCTGACCTTGTCTTTGGTCTCGTACCATCTCTGGAGAGCAGTAGTCAAGTGGACTCGGGGGCTGAATTCGACAGCTAACAGACGTGGCGTGTTAACTGACATAAGGTGAGTGCGTTGAGGCAGTCTATAAATAGAGACAGCCCCTGAACTTCCCAGACCCATCTGGGATGCCAACCATCTCCATTGCTGTACGTCATGACAGTGCTTCTCGCAAGCGTTCCCAGTTACCAGTTCGGGAATGCCGTGAACAACCATGGAGGTAGAAGGTATAAGCTCTGGCGACTCCTTCGCCATCTGTCTTTCTTTCCATGGCCTATCTGGCCTAACACGTATATTGCAGGTCCTCCCTATAGAAAGGACTTGGGAAGTCAATAAAACTTTTTCGGCATCTTCGGTAGAGCCTAGTGTTACCCTCAGTGGGGATGGTTTGCCTTGAGGAGCAGCAGTGCCCTTATACAATCTGCACAGTTTTACTGGTTGGATGTCCAGATCCAGTGTGCTACATAAGTTGGGCCACTGTTCCTGATCAAACAGGGCCCTGTTTTCCAGCAGACTACTGCTACAGTCTGGTACATTAAAGAGGATAACGCAGTTTGATCGACTGACCGTGGATTTAGGTTCAGTCCTCGCACATTTGTTATCCCCTTAAGACCATTTTGTTTCGTCTGGTGCAACTGGGTATTATTGTGTGTCGCAGTGCTGTGGCCACTTTTACTGGTGGACGGTAAGGGTCTTTTCCCAGCGACAGGTACCCTTGGTGCTTCAACCTCTGTGTCTGGGGCAGTTATTGCAGGAATTGCAAGTATAACCGGTGTGGATTTTGGTATCCCCGATTTACATGCAATTGTGCTGTTTTCTGAGTTGGTGGGAGTAAAACGTTTCACGTTTTTTCCTGATATCTCTATGCCATCTGTAGCTTTCGAGGAACTACACGAGGCTGCATTAGGACGGCAACTTGGGCATATGTACCAGAACCATGGGCATGGGTTCTTACGCATAAAATCGTAATATACCTTTGGTATCCCGGTGTCACATCTACAATGTACCCATTGCTTACAAAAGTTGCATTCGAAAGCAGAGTCTACTTGTTCGACAACAGAATTGCAGACCTTGCAATCGTCTGCCTTCTTGGGGAACGTTTTCGTCTTGCGACGTCGTGAACGTTTCTTATTGGCCTTCCTGTTTGTTTCAAGGCCTACTGTGGATATGGGTGTCATACTATTCCCACTTTGTGCAGATTTACCACTCTCCTCTATTAACTTAGTCGTGTTAACAGGGATGGAGCCACATCCGCTTGGTTACTTTTCACAGTTTCACT